AATTGGCAGCTTGTGATAATTGAGAAACTTGATGCCTTTTATAGAGTGCAATTCTTTCTCAACCCCACATATATTCAAAGATTCTCCCTTTATCATACCAGTGCAGCAGTGTCAACTCTGTAGCACAGTAGTAGCAGTAAGAGTGATAACCATTTTCTGTAATTGAGTCAATAGCTACATATCTAATCTGGGAGTTATGTTTAATGTTGATTATATTTGTTATCTTTTTAACTTCTTACTTATAGCCCCACATTTTCCAGCTTTTTGATTTATAATAATAAAAGTTACTTGGAAGCAGTCCTGACCATTTATATCTGTGAAGGTCAAAAGCCAGCATTAGGTAGGACATCTGGAGATGGTAAAGTAGATTGGATGAAGATAAAGGGGAGAGAGGAAGATGTTTAAAACTGTGGGTGCACTGAAAAGTAGAAAATGTGCCAAGAGAATCCTTTATTTTTGCCTTGATATATTAAACTGCTCTTTCCTCCATTGTTTATCAGATTTAAATACCAGATTTTCTATTTAAAGGTAGTAATCCAAATTTGGTTGTCATTTAAATGATGTCTAGGGAGTTACACTTGCATTTTCTTAAATGTTAAATATAAATATTTCTATTATAAGGAAAGCTTGTGAAGTAGAATGTTTTATATTGCTTGGCAACTTTTTTTTTAAGGAAAAGATTTGTTTGATCTTCTGCACCTTAACAAGACTCAACTGTGGTTTGATGCTTAGGGTAGCTAGTTACTGCCCCAGAAGATGATTTCAGGGTGTTGGTTTAAGACTTTCCTTTAAAGTGACCTTTATATAAACTTAACTTTTAGTGTTTATTATAACTATCTAAGATTTCACTAGCTAAATGAAACGTTTCTGACTAACACTGGTCTGTCTAGAAATTTAATTATATTATTATTTTTGAAGTTGAATAGTTGTGAAAATACCTTCTGAGTAAGTCTCTTATTTTTTTTTTCTATTTTGTATGTGATTTAAAGTAACAAAAAACTTTGATGACCAAAGCCACTCTCCCCTGAAATTCTTAATGGTGACTCGTGGATGTGTCCATGTCTTTATGGCTTCTCTGCTCTTTACTAAAACAGCAGCCAGCCTATCTTTCCGCCTTTTGGCATTTCATGTGTGGTTAGGCTTGGCAGGTTTGTTGCAAACAAATCTGATTGTTGGTTTTAGATTTCATGCCTCATTGATGCCTTTAGTTATTTGATCCCAAAAGGTGGTGATAACTTCTTATATATGCTGTGACTTATGACTTCCACAATTCTATTCTTCAATCAGAAATCCAATAAGTCAGGAAATTGATTTAATAATAACCAGGACATTTTTTTTTTCCCAACAATGAAAAAGTGGTCACTTTGGTTCCTAGCCAATCTCAGTTTGGATAATTTGATTCCTGTTGGCCTGATTCTTGTCTTTGTTTTCACTTAAGGACCTTTGATTTCACAAAAGCCTCAGCATATTAACATTGAAATGTATAATGTGTTTATTTTTCATATTGTTATGTAACATGTTTATATATAAAGGATGGATTTTCAATTCTGTTCTTATTTTCAAGTTTTTTTTTAATTTAATATTTATTTTCTCTGACTGTATAGAAAGTATATCTCTAATTTTAAAAATGAAAATATACCATTAACAAGACATAAAACTAGAGACTTGTCATCTCACCAATATTATATCTTAAAAAGTCTAATTTTAATTGTCAATAGATATGGTCTTCTTTTTCTTCAGATTTGTAGATATTACATATTGAAAATATTTTAAGAAATACTTTATTATTAGAGCATAAACTGATAATTTTATTGTCAAAAAGTCTTAAGTTTACATTCTATAAACAAAGATTGCCTTCAAATTTTAAATATTTTTGGAAGCCGTCCAATAAGTTACTAGTTTAAATAGTAGAACAACATGGGTAGGAATTGACATTTCATGTTTAGAGGATAACATCGGGGGAGTTTTTCCTGAAGTGTAATTATTAGAGATGCATTGAAAGTACATGTTGTTAAGGTGTGGTAACCCAGCGGGTGACATCTTCATGAATATTTTTTTAAAATTAACAATGTAAGTACATACGTGACATTGCATAGTTACATATCCTAAAACTTAATATGGCACTGAAATTTTTCTGTTGGTTCATAGTAGATAATTAGTCATGTGAACAGAGATAAAAACCACAGGTTCTATGATTAAATAAGACATTAAATAATTACAGATATATATGAAAACATAAGATTTAAAGATTTGACACTTATTTTAGCATACTGGTCTAGAACAATTTGAGATGTGAAATCGAAATGTTTGTGTTTGCACCCTGGCATTTCCAGCTGTCTGATTTGGGCAAGTTATTTATGACTAACAAAAATGAAGTAAATCATTGTACCTACTTTGTAGCCTTATGCTCTGCAAATGTCAGTTGTCATGATTATTGTCATTGCTGTTATTGTTATTCTAGTGGTAAAATACATACCTGTTCTCTATGATGGCTTTGCAAAACAATTTTTCCATTACTAATAGTTATTATAAGACTAGATATTTTCATGGATGTTGAGTGTTTTCAAGGTACATACTCATTTTTTTTTTTTAGTTATAGGTGGAAACAGTGTCTTTATTTTATATTTATGTGGTGCTGAGGATTGAACCCAGTGCCTCACGCATGCTAGGCGAGCTCTCTGCCTCTGAGCCACAATCCCAGCACCTCACTTTTTTTTAATGGCATACATTTTACCCCTGCCGAACAATACTTATTAAGCATTTATATAAGTAATCAATTACGTGTCTATCCTCTCAAATCTTTTAAACAAGTATGTGTAAGTTTCAAATACAGTTACAATACAACTTTGTTCATGTAGTTTTCCATGGATTTTCATTTAGTGGTTATGGTCTTTTGTTGTTGTTGCCAGAGACTGCTATACCCTTTGTGAGCTTGTTTTTATGTCTTTACATACTTGCAGAAGTATTTCTTTAGACCAGATGTCTTAGTTTTGCTGGATTATAGGATACAGACGTTTAAATTCCAAATTGACAGGGTCAGCAGAATTTTCTTTGAAACATAACTGCACTATTTTTCATTCACTGCTCATCTTCCCCAAACCATTATAAATGTTTGTCTTTTATTATTTGGCCAATTAGGTAAGTAATAGTTGCTTTTCTCATATTAATTTGCATTTTATTTATTAGAGAAGTAAATCAATTTTTAGGTATTTGATTATTTACATTTTATTTAAATTGTCTCTTCATTCTCTTTTTCCACTTATTCCTTTAATTAATTTTTAGAAGCTCTTTATTTGATCTGTTTTGTCTTCTCTGTGTGGTTAACATTTGCTCACAACCTTTTTAATTTGCTTATGGTATGTTTTCTTATGTAGATATTTATATCTTTATACAGTCAGATCTGTCAGATGGTTCCTTGGCAGCTTATGATTCACATTATTTTTTAAAGGTTTTATTTCCCAAATTATAAAATATCCTTGTTTTTCTAATAATCTTACAATTTTACCCTAATGTCTTTGACACTTAAGTCCATTGTGAGAGAATGATTACAGTTTGCTTTCCTCTGAATACATAGCCAAACTCCTAATAGCTTCTTTTTAATAGTAACTTCAGAGTTACTAGGACTATTTATAATTATTGTTTATATCATGGCCATCATTGAAGACCAATAATTGCCCACACAATAGTAAGCATTTTACATGTGTAATTTTTTCTAAGTCTTGTGATTACCTTTTGAATTTGGTACTATTGTTATTTTATCTGTTTAATTTGTGGATGAAATTGCAGCATAGAGATACCAATAATTTGAGAGACCATGCAGCTAGAGAACTATAGAGTTAGGAGGCAAAACCTCCCATTTCTAGAACTGTTCCTCTAATCACCAACTGTCATGAAAAATTAAATTTACGTGGGTTCCTTGTGGCTCATACCAGACAGATTTCAGTATTAACAGTGCCCTGCTCCCTGCCCTAGGCTTCATCTTCCCTCCTGGCCTTGACCCTCCACCTTCGCCCCCTCAGTTCCTCTTCTCCCTGCCTGTATTCTCTCCTGACCTGCAGGGCAAGGTGCATTCCTGTCCTCTCTCTCTTGTAGTCATCATTTCTTTGTGAATACAGAGTAATGTCTCTGATCTGATTTTGACAGACTATAACACGTGTGTCACAGAATTCTAGAACTGAAATCTATCTATTCACCAACCCTAAGAAGAGAGATCATGAATCTGAACACAAAATTAAGTTGCTTTTCAGACAACACTAATATTAATATTAGTTGAATAATTCCCATACCAGGCTATGTGTCACATTAAAATATTAATAAAATTAAAATTCATAGGATGTTAATGATAGTTTCAAAATTAAATTTTAAATAATGTACATGTAAAACGTTAGGCTCTTCATGAGGAGTGTTTGACATGAAGGTTTTTCCAGTTCTCTGAAGTTTCTTATCTTTAAAAACTAGTGTTTTTTAATCTCTTCAACTTTGTTCTACCCTTTTCCAAGTTCTGTCATTTAAAAATATGCCATAGTTAGGAGACGAGTGTTCTGGTGTTCTCTTGTACTGCAGGGTAGCTATAGAGGGTGATAATGTGCTGTATATTTCAGAAAACTAGAAAAAAAAGATTTGAATGTTTTCATCATAAAGACACGATACATTTTGAGGAGATAGTTCTGCTTACCCTCATTTGAACATTATGCCATGTTTACATGTATTGAAACATGACATAGTACCTCATAAAGATGTATCATTTTGTGTGTCAATTTAAAACATGAAGATAATTAAAATGTAAAAAATTTTTTAAATGTGCCATGAACACAGAAAAGAGTGAAAGCCAGGGAGAATTTTAGCAAGAGTTTCTAATAGAAATGTGATTTGAATTTTATTGTACTGAATTTTATATGGTTAGTCCATTTATTTTCCAAAGAAAAAAAACCCCAGTTTAACTCTGTATGCTCCCAGCCTCAGGCTTTTTCTTACTCTGTTCTCTTGGTTTGGTGTCTCAGTCTTCAGGAACCAGTATTACTGTGGATATTGCTGTGATGGGCGAGGCGCATGGCCTCATTACGGACCTCCTGGCAGACCCTTCTCTGCCCCCAAATGTGTGCACGTCCCTGAGGGCCGTGAGCAACCTGCTCAGCACGCAACTCACCTTCCACGCCATTCACAAGCCCAGAGTGAATCCTGTCGTTTCCTTCAGTGAAAACTACACCTGCTCTGATTCTGAAGAGAGCGCTGAAAAAGACAAACTGGCTATTCCCAAGGTAGGTACTGAGGACACACCCTTTAAAGGCTTAGACTTTTTATATTTTAATTGTCTCTTAGGTTTCCCTCACAGTCTCTCCAAACCCATCTATAGATTCATATCAGTTACTTCAAGAAGATGAGTTGATTCTGGTGGCAAAAATAATAAAACCTTAAACTCAAACACTTCTGTCATAATACTTGATTACTTTCTTCAAATAGAAAACTTACCCTTTTTATTTATACTTGGTAAGAGGTTTTTTTTGTTTTGTTTTGTTTTGTTTGCTTGCTTGTTTGTTTGATGCTGGGGATTGAAGGCAAGGCCTCATGCATGCTAGGCAAGTGCTTCACAATTGAGCTACACTGTTAGCCCCAGGATTTACTTCTGTGTGCCTGGCTGTGTTGTTGGCGATGAGGATATTGCAGTAAAACACAAACAAAATAACAATGAGAAAATAAAAAAGGAATACCTGCTCTGTTCTCATGTGAATTCTGTTTAAAACACACTGCCTTGTAAAACTGAAGGTTCCTTTGCTCTTTGATTTCTTAGTGAGACATATTTCAAAGTGCCTTTATGAATTTCTCAAACACGTTTTGAACACAGAATGGTTTTAGTTATTTAAGATTATTTAAGGTATAAGGTGGCCTTAACTGATTTATATACACTCAAGAAATGATACAATTCCTTCTTTTTACAAACAGGTTGGACATCCCTTATCCAAAAATCTACCTGAAAATGGTCCAAAATCCAAAATTTTTTGAGCACTAACATGGCACTCAAAAAAGTGCACATATTGGAATATAAGATTTTTGTATTGGTTAGTTTAACTGGTAAAATCAATGCAAGTATTTCGCAATACAAAAAAAAAATCTCCAAAATCTGAAACACTTTGGGTCCCATGCATTTCTAATAAGGTATGCTCATCCTGCTTAAGAGAGGTATTTTTCAAAAGTAAACAGTACAGGCATGATCCTATGCCTGGTTCAGACCTCAGTATTAGTTAAAATTAAGTTACATTAAAGATAAAATGTCATTGTTTCCATGACCTCTGGTACATGCAGCATGGTTGTTACTCAGTAGACAAGCAGCTGTGCCCTTGAGCTGGTGGTCAGTCAGTAGCATCCATGTCTGCCATGGAGTCTCTTGGGCCAGGAATGTGATCCTTATAATTTTATCAATTGAGTATTTATAGAGTTTCTTTCAAACATTCAGTTCTCCAAAAAAAGATATACCAAAGCACAATATGAAAGTAAAGAAATGGAGAGAAAGATTAACTGATTCCTTAGGGTCTCAAAAGAGTCGTAATTCAAAACTTGGCAGGTGAAAGTGTTTGTCTTTTCCTCCTTAATTATCTTCTTGAACGCATATTTACATCTTTAGGATACATTGGAAACTATTGAGTGCCAGAGTTGTTCTTGAATTCCAATGGGTCACCTACTTTACGTCTCAAAAGTTTTGGCATCTTCAGAAGAGCAGAGTGTCCTTGTAAACTATGGCTACACAGTTGGTTTACAGGAGTGATTAACCAGAAATAAAAGTGGGTGGAGGATCTGCCTCTTAAGCCTGTTACTGAAGTTGCATGGAGAGCACACCTTCACTTTGGTTTCCAAGATTGAGACCCTCTTGAGAGTGCTGGTGGCCATGATGGCAAGCCCGGGCCTTGACCTCAATGCCCATGGTACCAGTCCCACTTAGGATATGTTAGGACCACCAATGGCACAGAGAAGAAACAGCAGGTTCCCAGAAGGGATTCTATTCAGAGAAGTTGATACTGGTGGATTTACCCCTATCTCTGATGACTCAATCACATTACCATAGGGAAGTGGTGTTTTCTATGAAAAAGTCCATTCTTAGCTCCTATGATTTCTCTATAAAAACAACCAACCGAACTTGTGTGTATAGACCATTATGTGCAATGATATAAATTAATCCATGTCCCAAACAAGTGACTTTGTGAAAAATACTTCTCATAATAACTAATATAATATGTGTATATAGGTATATATGTCCTATAATAATGTAACTATAAAATTTCTCCAGAGGTAATTTAGTCTCATTCCTATAATCTATATTTGTACAAGCATTGCAGAGCAGACCCCAAAATGTTATCTTTTAAAAATGCAGTCATTTTGGCCAGAAAGTATTTTATTGAATTTCTGCATATCCCAATTTTATATAGGCAATATTGAACCATTGTGGTTTCATCATTAATTCCAATTAAAAATTATTTCTTCTATTCTGTTACATGGAAGTTAGTGATACAAATGTGCTTGGTAAATAAAATCAATACATATTTCTTCCTAGCGCCTCAGAAGAAGTTTGCCCCCTGGTTTGTTGAGACGAGTTTCATCAACTTGGACAACCACCACTTCAGCCACAGGTCTGCCCACCTTGGAGCCTGCCCCAGTTCGGAGGGACCGTAGCTCCAGCATCAAGCCTCATGATGCACCTTCTCCCAGGTTAGTCAATGCTCTTGCTGGTTTCATGTCTCTCAGAGAATGTTCTTAACCAAAATGAATTATAACTTATGAGAGAAGGGAAGCCTAAGTCATTATAGTTGGTTATAGACCAGCATTATCAGTGGAAACATTGTGTAACTTAAATCAGATAATTAGGCTTAAATTTTGTTGTGAGACTTCAAGTATAAGAAGAAAGTGTGCCCTGCAGTTGTGACCTTGAATGGAAAGGGTTGAGTCCAGGAGTAAAATGTAGGACAATAAAAGGTACACAGAGATGCATATATCAAAAGCACCTAACCTGCTGGGACTGTTGGTGCACAACTGTAATCTCAGTTGCTCAAGAGGCTGAGGAAGGAGAATTGCAAGTTTGAGATTAGCCTGGGAAACTTAGCAAGACCCTATATAAAATTTTTTAAAAAATTATAAAAGGGCTGAAGCTCCCCTGGATTCATTCCCTGGTACTGCCAAAACAAAAACAAAAGCAAAAAACTAGGCTGACGTTTGCAAGTCATTGTTAGAGTCCCCTAGCTCATCAGCAACTGTCCTATCTCTGTAGGAAAGGCAGAAGGGTAGATCACCATTCTAAGACCAACCATTCTGTTCAAACATTTGGTAATTTAAACATTTTTGTTTATGTGTGTACAGTATTGGGAATTGAACCCAGGGCCTCGTGAATGCTAGGCAAATTCTCTACTGCTGAACTGCATCACCAGTATAGTAATTCACTACAGAGCAACTTTATTTCGTAAACTAATTCCCATTTTACAAAATGACTATTTAGCTTTTTGTCACTGTAATAAAATATCGAAACAATCAACTTATTAATTTAAAAGGTTTATTTTTACTCACAGTTTCAGGGCACACACCCAGTGATCTAACTTCTTTCCACCAGGCTCTACCTCCTAAAGTTTCTACCACATCTCATGGACTGGTGACCAAGACTTTAATGCATAGGCCTTTAGGGGAAATTCAAGATTCAAACTGTAGCAGTGACTTAAAAGCCAGAAATACTAAAGCTAAAGAAAAGATAATATTATGATCATAGAATGAATTTCTAAGAAAACATCTACCAAAAGAAGTCCTTTTACAGGAAGCTATTATGTTTGTTCTTTTCTAATTTGAAGAAAAATAGCATTCTTTATATGAATTCAATAATTCTGAAAACATATGCCATATGATTTCAGGATTTTGAAACGTATGTCAGTTGACCTAATGAATGAAAAAGATCCATATCCATTGAATTATATAATAGCAATACTAGTAGTAAATTTCTCCTTATCTTAGTCTCTAATATAAATAAAATATCATGCTGACATTGGCAGAGAAATTGAAACGTTCCATCTAATAAGAATTTAAAGACTGCTCTATGTGTGTAATAAGAGTTGTAATGCATTCTACTGTCATATATAAATTAAAAAAAATAAATACTGCTAACTTTTCTTGCTTTCTTGATTAAAGATGTTTAATTGGTTTCTTTCGTATAAACGTTTGTGTTTTAGTAAACCAATAGAATCAGAAACAAACTCAAATGATTCTTTCATATATCAGTGTAATTTCATTATGTCTTCTTACCTGGAATTTTGTAAACTTATAAATGCCACCATGGGAGAAAGTTACTCACCATTCCAGGAACACATTTTAATGGTTGAAACGAGAAGTCATTGCTAATATTTTTCTTTAAAATGCTGGCCATTTTCAATTTCTATAGCATCATATATTAAAAAATGATAGCACAGAGTATTATAGTTAAATATTACATAATAAAATGAATTATGTCCTCAGTGTACGTCATTACTTATTTTACCAATGCACTTTAGTAAGTTCTCTGTGAGAGTATAGTTAATTTCCATAGAATGACATGCCTTCTCAAATGTCTTCTTTCCTTCTGTTATTCTTTGTTATTTCTTGTCAAATCTCATTTCCCCCATTCTTTTCTTCAAGTCAATTATAAGAAATTGGAGGCTGAAATTGAAATCATCATAAGGAAGAGGGTTCCAAGAAAAGTTATGAGCTTAATTCCCAAAGATCCTGTCATTTTGCCTCATAAAATAAATATGCAGACTCAAATATTTGTAAAGAGATAAGAAATAGCTTATCCCACTCAATCTCTTTCCCCTAAAAATAGTTATAGATGTCTTCTTGGGTATAGTTTTTCCCACTGTCTAAACTACTACCTCTAAATTTCACTATTCTGTTAAAAACTCCTGATTTAAAATTTGAAAATGATACGACTTTTTTCACTATTATGAACACATGAAATTGACTCTGACAGTATTTAGCCCTTTAAAGAAAAATCACATATAAGTTAATGGCCATAGTACCACCATTAAATACAATTGGTTTGAGTCATTAGTTAAAAGTCACCTAGGAAAACTGTTACTCATACTGCTGATTGATTTCAAAACTGGTTTGAGTTTTAGCCCTGAAGTTTCTTCCCTTTTAGCTTTTTACTTATTTATTTCTCATTTGACCTTTCGTTGGAACTCTTTGAGAACTTCAGTGATCCAAGGAAGAAAGTAAGAAGTAAAAATTAAAAACAGTTCACAACTTACATGACTTTAGGTATGCAACTGGATAGGTTCCTCCTGGGAAATTCTAAACACAGTCTGGTAGAGAGGTCCGTGGACTGAAGGTCAGAAGGATCTGGACCATGCAGACATGTGTGTTCCAAGAGGCCATGAGCCTCCATTCCCTCGGAGAGGAGTCATTACAGAAGGAGACTGTAGCACAATTGCAGGGATAGACTCGATGGAGGAATACAAGGACGTGGATTAAAAGTGTAGACTTAGAGAGAAGTAGAAAATGCTGACTTAAATCATGTTCTAAATTATTCCAAGTTGACCTTGAAACTGGCCTCTGTCTACTAGGGAAAAAAGGAGCAATTTATTTGACAGTAGACTGTTACCCAGTAGGAGTTCTCATACTGGAATAGTTAGAACTGGAGGTATAAAAATTTACTTTTGTGAAAGAGGGTTGTAATCTTCCATAATAGCCATAGATGATTTTCCTCGCTGTGTTACCATGAGAAAACCACATAAAGATTTCCCTAAGCTGTTTCATCTGCAGAATCCAAATTGTTCTTTTGTCATGAGATCTAAACTGGAATCAAGAAGTGAGGGTCAAAATAGGAGAATGGGGGTCAGAAAGACGATGGAAAGAGATGGACATCATTACCCTAGAACATGTATGAAAACACGAATGGTGTGACTCTACTTTGTGTACAACCAGAGACTTGAAAAATTGTGCTCTATTTGCATAATGTGAATTGAATTGCATTCTGCTGTTATATATAACTAATTAGAATAAATAAAATTAAAAAATTAAAAAGAAGAAGTGTGAAGGTCAATGAAAAGCTGAAAATTGCTGTGCAGCAGATCAAACAAAGCAATGTATGAAAGTGCCTGTAAGCTGTAATACATTTATATAAAGAGTATATGTAGATTTAATCTAATTTAATAATATTATAAATTAATATATATCATATTAAAATGAGATAGCACTGGTTGGGATTTTATTTATCTTGACTTCATTACATCTCTACACATTAAGGTTACTATACCATTGTGCCTTTCAGGCTTTTCAAAAAAACATTTTAAATGTTTTTATTTGGAAAAAGCCACAGTCATAGATAGTTTTTGAGCTAACCTTCATCAGACACTATTGAAATATTAGAAATGATAGTAAGGTCTTATATTTTAAAAGTTCACATAGAAGAGTGATCATTTATTTATTCATTATATTGTGGACTAAGAAATGAAAATATTTAGGTTACATATACATTGCACAAAATTTATTCACAGTAAATCTTATCAGTCTAGCAAAAGAAACTAGTACCATAAGAAAACAGTTGGCTAGTTCTCTGCCTCACACCCTGGTTTTCTTTGATTTATTATTTACAAAATTCAAACCATTTGTGAAAGACTTAGGATGAGATTTCTAAGAAGGACATGAAACAAATATTTTACATACTTTCTTTAATTATATTGGATAATTTGCTTAAGTTCATTCTGCATTTTGGATATCTTCTTTGTGATAATATATGGTTGACCGTTATTAGAAGTAAAGAGAAAAGTTGAAGTAGCTGGGTCAATAGTTGAAGAAAATTTCTCCAAATATAAAGAGAGAAAAAATGAAATATACCATGAGTGTCAATGCATCAGATTAGCCTCAACCCAAATTACAAATGTCACTAATTATCTAGTTTACTGATAATGCAAGGATCCAGGCAGTAGCATATATAGCATTCTTCCCTTTGAGAGACCTGAGACTGTTCAAGTGTCCCTTTTATTCCATATTGGCTTTTGTTCTGGTTTGGATTAACATGCAGGATTCTAAGCAAGGGAAGCATAACGTTGCTATACTCTGGGAGCCACTTTGGCTATAGACCCCTTAAGATTATACTGCATTAATTATTCAGCTATACAACAATCTCTATATATCGATGACTCCAAAGTTCTACCAATTTCATGTTTACTTACAGTAAGCCATCAGGAAAGATCAGGCATATCCTGCCCACAGTGCCAAACTAAAATCAGCTAAAGATCAAATTGTCACATAATATTCATGCAGACTAAAGATTTTTACCAAATTAACAAGTATATGAACTCGATAAATAGGAATGTTATCTCTTCTCTTACTTTAAATGGTATGCTTTGTGAATCACTGATGTATCCCCTTCAAGAGACTAAGCTCAGATAACCTGTTTTGTCATTTGAAAGTAAAGTTATTCTTTCAGTGAGCCTGGGCCCATATCCAGATTGACAAGTCTATTATGAAAATTATGGTTTTGTTCTGGTAAGATTTGCCCAATAGTTGAGTAATTTATTCATTAGTGGTAAATTCTGTCTTTACAGTGCTATTAATTCAGATTCTTGGAATAACCCAGTGATGATGACCCTCACCAAAAGCAGATCCTTCACTTCATCCTATGCTGTTTCTGCAGCTAACCACGTAAAGGCTAAAAAGCCAAATCGACCAGGTTAGTAACTTATGAGGAAAAGAGTTTATACTCTAAATGCTCTGTCATGGAGTGACCAAGCTTTGAGTATATAAAAATATTATGAAGGGAAACTAAACTCAGATGTCTTTGGTTCAACTACTCTGTAAATTTCAATAACCGATTATTTATTTAAATTTCCACTTCATGTGATCATACAGATTCTTAGGTTGCTGTACCAGATTTTCTATCTTGAGTTTATTTAGTAGGAAATCAGATCACCACTAAGGATAATTTCCTGAGCACCACCTTTTAAATGTCAGTTTTACTTTTAGCATCTGTTAATCATAGATTACTTTTCAGGAATGTGCTGTATGTGTATTTGAGGAAATGCTTCATTTATTATACATGAGCTATGACAAGGAATTTAGATATCACAATTAAGAAAAATAGAGTTATAGGTAAGGAAATGAAATGATTTGGGGAAAGATTATCTTTTGGCAGAGCACTGAGCTATATCCTCAGTTCTTTTTTTATTATGAGACAGGATCTCCCTAAGTTGCTGAGGGTCTTGCTAAGTTGCTGAGGCTGCCCTTGAACTTGTGATCCTTCTCCCTCAGCCTCCCAAGTTGATGGGATTACAGGCTTGCACCACTGAGCCCTGCAGGTTACCTCATTTGACTGGAGTGTGTGCTATTCTGTCTCTGAATTGCTCTTTTCCTAGAATCCCAGATTCTAGGTGTATTTACTAGGGTGTTTACTCTGACATCCTCCTCTTTAGAATAACTAACTTCTAAGTTTTTACAGCTACGTAGAAAACTTTAACAAGATTTTAGTTACTTCCTGCTTGGTTTCTTAATTTTCTCTTGAGCAGCTAAAGAATTCACCAAATGGTTCAAGGGAAAACTCTCCTTTCTTACTGGGATAGTAGACATTCAAATTATGACTGCCATGGGGTCCCCACTCTCCCAATATTTTATGTTGTCACCCTCATTTCTGCTAAAAGCTCTGCTGGCTTCCTTCCCTAATGTCTTCATGCCTCTGCCTACATTCTTAGTCTGTCTTGTTTTTCTGACCCCAATTTTATTTTGATTTTACATTTTTTTTGTATAATTGTTTTTGACTAAATGTGCAGAATAAAAGTAAAATACTCTGATAATTACAGACATAGATACTAAATGTGAGTAAATGTTCTTTTTAGCAAAAGAAAGACCCAAACAATTGCATCACATGAAGTCCAATTCTATCACTGTTAATTTATTCAGAGGAATTATTGGCCACATTTGCAAAGATTTTTTTACTATAATTATTATTGCATGTTAGTTGAATAGATTAATGACTTTGTGACTTTTCCATACATGCATACATTGTGTTTTGATCGTATCTACCCCTCCCACTAGTACTCTCCCATACTTTCCTCTCTCTTTGTCTTGGTTCCCTTTCCCTTCTCTTTATAGTCTCTGTTGTACTTTCATGTCATTTTTATTCTTTCCACATGAGAGAAAACATGCAGGACTTGTCTTTATGTGTCCAGCTTATTTTGCTTAACATGATGCGCTCTAGTTTCATCCATTCTTCAGCAAATCACGTGATTTCATCCTTCTTTAAAGCTGAATGATACCTCATTGTGTATATATACACACCATATTTTCCTTATCTGTTCATCTGTTAATGGCTACCTAGGCTGATTCTATAACTTGACTGTTGTGCATAGTGCTGCAACACACATAAGTGTTCAGGTATGTCTTCAGTACACTGACTTCATTCCCTTCAGGTATACATCCAGGAGTGGTATTGCTCTATGATATAGTAGTTCTCATTTTAGATTTTTGAGGACTCTTCATACTGTTTTGCATAGTGGCTGTACTAGCTTCCATTCCCACAAACAGAGTATAAAGGTTCCTTTTTCCTTACATCCTCACCAGTGCTGGTTATTTTTTGTTCTTTTGATGGTTTGCCATTCTGACTGAAATGAGATGGAATCTCAATGAAACATTGATTTGCATTTCCCTGACAACTAAACACGTTAAACATTTCCCCAATATTTATTGGATAATTGTGCTTCTTTTTTTTAATGAGTGCATTTTAATTATAGAGAATAATGAGTTTCATTGTGGCATATTCATACATGCAAATAACATACTTTGATCATGTCCACCCCCAGTATCTCCCTTCCCTCACTCTTTCTGATCTCCTTCCTCTTCTGTAGTAGTCTCCCTGCTACTCTTGTATCTTTATTTTTTTTTAACCTCAGTTCCACATATGAGGGAAAATAGGCAATGTTTGTCTTTCTGTTTCTGCCTCACTTTGCCTAGCTCTGTGATCTTCAGTTCTATCCATTTTCCTACAAATAATGTGACTTTGTTTTTCTTCATAGCCGAATAATACTTCTTTGTGTATGTTTACCACATTGTCTTTACCACACTCATCTGTTGATGGGCACCTAGGCTGATTCTATGACTTGGCTTTTGTGATTAGTGCTGCAATAAACATGGGCTGCAGAAATCTCTGTACTATACTAACTTTAATTCCTTCCAATATATACCAAGGAGTGGTTTTCCTAGATCATATGGTATTTCTATATTTATTTATTTTTTGAGAAACCTCTACATTGATTTTCATAATGGCTGTAACAACTAACTTTCCCACCAATGGTCTCTGATGGTTCCTTTTCCCCTGCAACTTCACAAGCCTTATTATTTTTGTTACTCTTGATGATAGCCATTCTGACTGGGATGAGATGGAATCTCTGTGTAGTTTTAATTTGTATTTCCCTGATGGCTGAAGAAGTTGAACATTTTTTCCTGTATTTATTAGCTATTTGAAGTGTTCTTTCGAAACTTTTGCCCATTTTTTTTTATTGGACCACTTGAACTTTTGTGGTTAAGCTTTTTGAGTTCTTTATATATTCTAGATGTTAATCCTTTGTCAGATGAAGAGCTATCAGATTTTTCTCCCATTTTGCATGTTGGAACAACTTCTGTTGATTATTTCCTTTGCTGTTCAGAAGTCTTTAATTTGATATAATAAAGTTGTCAATTCTTGCTATTTCCTGAGCTATAGGAGTTCTAGATAGGAAATTATTGCCTGTGTCAATATCTTGAATTCCCTGTTTTCCTCTTGTTATTTCAAACTTTCAGGTTTTACATTAAGATCTTTGTTCCTTTGAGCTAATGTTTGTACAGGTTGAGAGATAGGGGTCTAGTTTCTGTTTTCTCCATCAATATCTAGTTTTCCCAACACCATTTTTTCAAGAGACTGTTTTTCCTCCATCATTTGTCTTTGGCACCTTTGTTGAGAATCTTATGGTTGTAGATACATGAGTTTATATTTTGAAATCAGGTATTGTGATGCCAGAAGCATTGTAATATTTGGCATATTTTTGTGCTTCTATGTGAATTTTAGGATTGTTTTTTCTAGCTCTGTGAAGAATGTCATTGTCAATGTCATTGGTATTTTGATGGGGATTGCATTGCATCTCTAGATCCCTTCAGGTAGTTTAGCCATTTTAACAATATTGATTCTCTCAATCCATGAACATGGAGAAGTCTTTCCATCTTCTAGCTTAATTTCTTTCTTCAGTGTTTTATAATTTTCCTTATAGAGGTCTTTAACCTCCGTGTCTAGGTTTATTCTTAGCTATTTTATTTTTCATTTTGAAGCTATTGTGAATTGGACTTTTTGTTCTTTTTTCTTTCTCAATGAGTTTATTGTTGGGGTATTAAAAAACCTCAGATAAGAAGCTGTGCTATGTGTCAAAATGCATTCTAATGTCATATAAAACTAATTAGAACAAATTTTAAAAATACAAAAAGAAAGCTACTTTTTTTTTTTAAAGAGAGAGTGAGAGAGGAGAGAGAGAGAGAGAATTTTTTAATATTTATTTTTTAGTTCTCGGCGGACACAACATCTTTGTTGGTATGTGGTGCTGAGGATCGAACCCGGGCCGCACACATGCCAGGCGAGCGCGCTACCGCTTGAGCCACATCCCCAGCCCAAGCTACTCATTTTTGTATGTTGATTTTGTGACCTGAAACTTTGTTGGCTGTCCTTCAGTTCTGAGGGGTTTTTTGTTGACTCTTTGAGGTTTGCTAGATATAGAATAATATCATCTGCAAACAGAAATAATTTGACTTCCTCCTCTACTATTTGTTTCTCCTTTATTTCTTTCCTTTGTCTCATTGCTGAAGTTTCCAGTAACATTTGAAAGAGTACTGTGAGTGTACACCCTTATCTTGTTCCTGCTTTTAGAGAAAATGTTTTTAATTTTTCTCCATTTAGTTTGATATTAACAATGGATTTGTCTTATATGGACTTTATTATATTGAGGTATAATTCTTCTATACTTTGTTTATTCAGGATTTTATCATGAAGGACTGTTGGATTTTGTTGAAGGCATTTTGTGTGTCTATTGAGATGTATTTTGTGCTTGATTTTGTTTATGTGGTATATTACATTGGTTGATGTGCGTATGTTGAACCAACCTTGCAGCTCTGGAATGAACCCCACTTGATTGTCATATAGTGTTTAATTCGATTTGCAAGTATTTTATTGAGAATTTTGCATGTGTATTTATTAAGCATGTTGTTTGGTAATTTTCTTTTTTTGTGGTGTCTTTATCAGGTTTCAGTGGAAGGGTACTACTGGCTTCAAGGGATGAGTTTGGATGAGTTTGGAAAAGTTCCTTCCTGTTTTATTTATGTACTTATTTATTTGCAATAGTTTAAGGAACATTGTAATAAGTTCTTTAAATGTCTGATAAAACTTAGCTGAGATTGTATCTGCTCCTGGGCATTTTTTTGTTGGGAGACTTTTTATTATTGCTTTAATAATAACACTTCTTATTGAACTATTTAAGATTTTTTTTTGTTTGGCTGGTTGTTTGTTTTAATATTATCTTGGGTTTGGTTTTCCTGGGACATAATGTACCTAGAAATTTCTCCATTTCTTCTAGACTTTCCAGTTTATTGACATATAATTTTCTAAAGAATTTCCTAGTATCTTATGAATTTCAGTGATATCTGTTGTTAAAATCCCCTTTT